GAAGAACGGTCTAGGCCCGAAACGTCAGCCTTCCTGCTCCTCTGATGCTGCTTGGCCTGCTGTGTTCATCTGGCTCTACACTTTGCTATCTCAGATTCGCCAGCATCTGCAGTTCCTACCATCTCTGAAATCATTTAAAACTGCTTGTAGTGATTGTAACGAGGTCAGCCAGGTGGACATCATAGAATATCAGTTCCTTGATTGGGGCTGTTAGTCTGGTCCAATCAGGGAGCCCTGGCTGAAAGATAAGAACAGGAACGTCAGAGATCCTGCTCACTCTGAGAACTGGCTCTGAGGGAGGTGGGTAGTGACTTGGTGTTGAGCTATTTCAGTAATATAGGGAGAATGCAGAGCCAGTGTGTTCCTCTAAGAGTGAAGGTCAAGGGCAGCAAATCCAGGAAACCCTGGATGTCAAGGGATATTGAGAGTTTAATAAAGAAAAAGGAGGTATATGTCAATTATGGTGCATTAAAAACAGAAGAGGCCTTGAAAAGTACAGAGTGTAGGGAGGCAGCTGAATATAGAAAGTAGGAGGGCAAAGAGAAGCTGTGAAATCTTCTTGGCAGATGGGATCAAGGAAAACCCCAAGGCTTTTATAAGTATATTAAAAGTAAAAGGATTACCAGGGAAAAGAGTGGGGCCTATTTGAGACCAAAGGTCAATCTGTGTGTGGAGCCAGCAGACATGGGTGAGATCTTAAATGAATATCACTCACTCCTATTCACAAGAGATATTGTAGCCAGGGATTTCAGTTATGATGGAGATTCTATAGCATATTAAGCTTAATAAGGAGGAGGTATTACATGTTTTAGTAGGCATTCAGGTACATTGGTCTGCAGGGCCAGATGAGATATATTGTAGGCTGTGGTGGGAGGAAAGGGAGGAGATTGCTAGGGTCCTGGCTGAGAGATTTAATATTCCACCAGTTATAGTTGAAGTTCCAGGTGACTGAAGGCTACCTAATGTGATTATTTTGTTTAAGAAGGGCAGCTAAGATAGGCCAGGTAACTACAGACCAGTTAGTCTGATGTTGGGGGTAGTGAAGTTATTAAAAAAAAAAAAATTGAGTGACAGGATCAATTGACACTTGGAAAGGCAAGGATTGATCAGGGATAGTGAGCACAGATTTGATAGAGGGACAGCCTGTCTGACAAATTTATTTGAGCTTTCTGAAAAGGTTTGTGAGGGTAGTGCAGTTGATGTAGTGAAATGGACTTCAGTGAGGCCTTTGACAAGGTCCTGCTGAGAAGGTTAGTCCAAAAAGTAAGAACTATGGGATCCAAAATTTCCTTAGAAATAGGAGGCAAAGAGTAATGATGGCAGGTTGTTTTTGTAATGGAATTCTGTGACCAGAAGTGTATGTTAATGACTTGAATGTGAATGTTGAAAGTTTAATTACCAAGATTGCAGATGACCCAAAAATTGGTGATGTTGTTGAAGTGAGGAGGAGGGCCTCAGGCTTCAGGCTGCAGTTTGTTATTGATCAGCTGGTAAATTGGGGAGAACAATGGCAGATGGGATTGCACTGATAAGTGCGAAGTGATACAAGAGAAGGATATGTGCAATGAATGGATGTCTCTAGGGAGTTCAGAGGAACAAAGACACTTTGTTGTCCAAGTACATAGATCCTTGAACAGGTCAACACAGGTAGACAGGGTGCTGAAGAAGGCATATAGGATGCTTGCTTCCATTAACTGGGTCATAGAATATAGTCAAAAAAAGTCTTGCTTCAACTCTTTTTAAAGCATTAGTTGGCCTGCAGATGGAATACTGTGTGCAATTCTGGTTGCCAAGCTATCGGAAGAATGTGATTGCACTGGAGATGGCAGAGGGGAGATTCACCAGGATGTTGCCTGGGATGGAACGTCAGTTATGCGGAGAGATGAGATAAGCTGGGTTTGTTTTTCTTGGAGCAGAGGAGGCTGAGTTATGATCTGATTGAGGTATACACAATTGAGAGTCATAGACTGTGAAAATCTTCCCCATGGCAGATGTGTGTGAGACCAGAGGGAATAAGTTTACAGTGAGAATTAAGTGGTTTAGAGGAAATCGGAGAAAGTTTTCTTCACCCAAAGGTCAGTAATCTGAAACATGCTGCCTGGGAAAATGGGGGAGGCAGGTCTTCAACATTTCAGAAGCATCTGGATGAGCAATTAAAATGTTGGGGCACCATAGGATATTTACCAAATGCAAGTAAATGGGATTAGTGTAGTTTGATATTTGTTAGTTAGTGTAGACATTTTGTGCTGAAGGGCCTATTTCTATGCTGTATGGCTCTATACTCTATGACTATTGATTATAATTTGCTGTTTAACCAGCAATGCAACTCCACCATCTTTTCAAAAACCAAAAGAACTGCAGATGCCGTAAATCAGAAACAAAAGCGGAAGTTGCTGGAATATCTTAGCAAGTCTGGTAGCATCCATGAAGAGAACTCAAAGTAAACACTTCAGGTCCAGTGACCCTTCTTCAGAACTGATGGTAGCTTGAAAAATATACAGAAGACAGGGTCGGGGGACGGGGCAAGGAGTAAATGATAGATGGGGATAGAGCCCAAAGAGAAACAAGAGCAGGTAGACAGACAAAGGAGTGGCTAAAGATCTGGCTGGGTGAGTGAATGGCTATTAATAGAGTCTTAGTGGCTAACAATATGTAGTGATTATTGGCAGACTATTTGATAACAAGACCTGGTGCATGGGGTAGGGGACTAGGACTTGGGGGAGTTCAGGCCCTAAAATTATTGAACTCAATATTGAGTCCAGAGGGCTGCTGATCAGACTCAAGACTAAGTTCAATAATTTTAGGGAAACAGAAACAGAAATTGCTGGAAAAGCTCAGCACGTCTGGCAGCAATTGTGAAGAGAAGCAGGGTTAACATTTCAGGTCTGGTGACCCTTCCTCAGATCTTTCAGTAATTTTAGGGCCTTCTTTTGTGCCTGTCCTTAAACATTAAATACTCTGGATACTCACTTCCCATTCTTGGTCACCCACAGCCTTGTCTCTGTAATCCTGATCATATCATACCGATTTTCATCTAGTTATGTGATTAATTCATCCACATTATTGTGATTGCTCTGTGCATTGAAACATGCTGCCTTAAGGCTTATCTTTTTAGCATTATTTGTCCTATTCCCATTATTTTTCACTGTGTCTCTGTTTGATCCTGGCCCTTGTTTTTGCTACCTATCTCTTCTCTTATTCCCCTTTCTAATTCTTTTGTCTTTGATTTCCCCTTTCTCTGACTCCTTGCATAGATTCTAATTCCCTTGCCATTTCAGTTTCAAGCCTCCCCAAACACTTTAACATATATGCCCCCTAGTCCTGACCAGATATAACCTGTCCAATTTGTACTGGTCTCATCTCTCCCAGAACCAGTCCCAATTCCCCAGGAATCTGAAGCACACTCCCTCGTGCCATTTCTACAGTCAGGTTTTCATCTGATATACCTGACTATTTCTACTCTGACTAGCATGTGGCATGGGTAGTAATCATGAGATCACTACCTTTGAGGACTTATGCCCTTATTGCTTTTCAATTTATTTCCTAAACCCCTATATTCTGCGTTTCAGGCCTCATCTTTTTCTAATCACATGGAATATATGGAGAACTACCCATTTGGATACAGAAATGGCTCGAAGGTAGGAGACAGTGGGTTGTGGTGGAGGGTTGCTTTTCAGACTGGAGGCCTGTGACCAGTGGTGTGCCACAAGGATCAGTGCTGGATCCACTGCTTTTCATTATTTATAAAAATGATTTGGATGTGAATATAGGAGGTATGGTTAGTAAGGTTGCAGATGACATGAAAAGTGATGGTGCAGTGGTGACCTTCAACAGAGGCCTCACTGATGATGTCACTTAGTACGGTGACGAAACGTCTGAACAAAAACAAGCCAGCTCGGCAAGCAAGTCAACAAGCTCAGTGGTGGTGCGGTGTCAGCGAAGGAGGTTACTTCAGAGTTCAATGGGATCTTGATCAGATGGGCCAAAGGGTTGAGGAGTGGCAGATGGAGTTTAATTTAGACAAATGTGAGGTGCTGCATTTTGGAAAGGCAAATCAGGGCAGGGCTTATACACTTAATGGTAAGGTCCTGGGGAGTGTTGCTGAACAAAGAGACCTTGGAGCGTAGGTTCATAGTTCCTTGAAAGTAGAGTTGCAGGTAGACAGAATAGTGAAAAAGGCATTTGGTATGCTTGCTATTATTGGTCAGTGCATTGAGTATAGGAATTGGGAGGTCATGTTGGGGCTGTACAGGACATTATTTAGGCCATTTTTGGAATACTGCATTCAATTCTGGTCTCCCTGTTATTGGAAGGATGTTGCAAAACTAGAAAGGGCTCAGAACAGATTTACAAGGATGTTGCGGAGGTTGGAGGATTTGAGCTACAGGGAAAGGCTGAATAGGCTGGGGCTATTTTCCCTGGTCCGTCAGAGACTGAGGGGTGACCTTATAGAACTTTTAAAAATCATGTGGGGAATAGATAGGGGGAATAGCCAAGGCCTTTTCCCCAGGGTAGGGGAGTCCAAAACTAGAGGGCATGGGTTTAAGGTGAGAGGGGAAAGATTTAAAAGGGACCTAAGGGGCAACTTTTTCATGCAGAGGGTGGTACATGCATGGAATGCATTGCCAGAGGAAGTGGTGGAGGCTGGTACAATTACAACATTTAAAAGGCATCTGGATGTGTATGTGAATAGGAAGGGTTTAGAGGGATATGGGCCAAATACTGGCAAATGGGATTAGATTAATTTAGGATATCATACTTTAATTACATTTTAGGATAATTTAGGATAATCTATAACTTAGGTTATCTGGTCAGCATGGATGAGTTGGACTGAAGGGCCTGTTTCCATGCTGTATAGCTCTATGACTCAATGACTATATAACTAGTGTCATTGGTACTGATGCATACCACAACCTCTGGCTGTTCACCTTTCCTCTTCAGAATATCCTGTAGCCACTCTGAGACATCCTTGACCCTAGCACCAGGGAGGCAACATTCCATTCTGGAGTCTCATTTGTGGCTACTATTCCCCTTACAATTGAAACCACTCTCACTGTTGCACTCCCAAACTTTCTCCTCCTCTCTGTGCAGCCCAGCCAAATAATGTTACCAATTTGGCAGTTGCTGCTTTCCTGAGAGGCTATTTGTCTAACAGTATCCAAAGTGATATATCTGTTTTTCGGGGGAATGACCTGCCTAGTCCTCACCCATTCCCTTTCTGCCTGTGAAGTCTCAGACTCATCAAGTGACCACCTCTCTGAGTGATTCTCTCAGCTTCGTAGATGCCCCATAGTGTCCCCACAGCTGCTGTTGTAGCTCCAAAACCGAGGCTTCCAGGAGCTGCAGCTGGACACTTCCTGCACGTGCTGACTCTAGGTTCTATCAGAAAATGCACTCAGCTTCCCACATCGAGCAAGAACAGCTCACCATGGCTTTGAGCTCTCCTACCATGACTTACAACTTTCAATTAAGCCTTTTTGGAAGATGCTTAATATCAAATAATAGTAATATATTATTCCTTGGCCTTCATTACTATAGAAGATAGCCCTTACAAACTATAAAACACAAAAAAGGACTAAAAACCAAAAAAAAAATCAAAAAACATGCTTCCCCTCTGTGCTCTACATTTCCAGACACACACACTCACCCTCGTTGTGTCTTACTCAGGGTATACTCTCCTTGAACTGGTCATACATGAACCTTACTGATCAAATCCAGAAAAGTCTCACTTAGCTGGTAGCTGTGATGAGGATGTGAGTCTTATCCCATGAGGAAAGGTCAGACAGATTTAACTTGTATCCATTAGAAGTCAGAAGAATATAACATAATCTGGTTGAAACATGTCAGATTCTGAAAGAACTTAATAAGGCAGACCTTGAAAAGAATGTCTGTTGGGAGAGACTAGAATAAAGGGACACCTTAAAAAGGGATGTCCCAATTAAGATTCAGTTAGGGGAATAATTTTCTCTAAAAAGGTCATTGGTCTGTGGATTTTTCTTTACCAGCAAGTGGTGGAGGCTGAGACATTGAATAATTCAAGGCTGAGGTTAGATAATTCTTGAATGACCAACAAGCTGAGAGTTGTCAGGTTTAGGTAGGAAAAATAGAGACTACAGTCAGATCTTAACAAATGATGGAGCAGACTACAGGGGCTGAAGGCCCACTCTCGTTCCAAATTCATCTGTATGGATATTGCTGAGTCACTGTCAGTGCTGGTTTTGTTCTTATATTTATGAATTATTGTGGAGCAGGTGCCACATCTCTCACCCCATTCTCCCCTGATCCCAATCCCCCACTAAAACCCCCCACCATTCCAGTCTCCCTCATCACTCAACTTTAATTTATCATATTAGATACAAAACAGAACCTCAAGTGCCAGTAATTATCTATTGATCACTGCTTTCGCTTACAATAAATTTTATCTTTTAATTTCATTGTTTTGTTGTAAGGAAAATTATAAAATTGTTACTAATTGAAGTCGAACATAAAGAGATTTATCTGCTCAGCATTACTGTATTCTTCTGACAGTCTGCTGTGAATTTTGAGCAGATTATGGTAAATAGGACTGAAATGAAGCATGTTTTGAATTTGAAATTAGTTTTTCAGCAAATGGCTGATGAATTTATAATTTGTATTTCAGTGATTTCAGAGATTTCAGAGTTGGTATCTCAGCTTCATTAAGATACCTTTGATGTTATGAAGGTATGTTACCTAACATATTAATTTATCATATGATCAGCTGGATATATAGACGCTGGGGTTTTTTTTTAAAGAAAATGAAGCTAGGAGCTAGCAAGGTAGATTTATAAAAAATATCATCTGCCCTGTGAGAGGTACAGGGCCTACAAAGCTTTCAGTGAGATATCATGTGACTCAGCTGAGTTTAAAACGTTACTGGAATTTGTACAAACTAATGTCTGTCAATTCCTGTCAACCTGATCCAAGTGCATCGAAAACACCTTCACACTGATGTTTCTCATTTCAATCTCAGCATAATTTCCACAATCAAAACCCCAAATAGTTCAAGCACAGGAGAATAGCATTCAAGTTTTACATAATTACAAGACAGATTATTCTCTGGTTTAGTATAATTATTTTAAAGATTACTTTTGCAATTATTGTTTCCTTGAATTCAGATGAAGACTCAAAATGGCAAGTATATGATTGAAATATTATGGCCGTCAAATAATAATTTAATATTCAGTAAACCAATTTTATCTGCTTTCCTAAAATATTCAGTGGAATCTTAAAGGGGCCTGAATAAAGTGGGCTATGTGCCAGAAATGTGAGTCATCCAGTGAGGCCTGGTCCCTGGTTGGATCAATAACACTTTGTCCCAGGAAACTAACCCAAATACACTCTATTCATTTTCTCTGCCATTTTCTGCCATTGAAGGGGTGGGATGGTAGCTTACTGGTTAGTGCTGCTGCCTCACAGCACCAAAGACCTAGGTTCGATTCCAGCCTCTGGTGACTGTCTGTGTGGAATTTGCACGTTCTCCCTGTGTCTGTGTGGGTTTCCTCCCACAGTCCAAAGATGTGCAGGGTGGGTGGTTTGGCTATGCTATAGTGCCCAGGGATGTTTAGATTAGGTGGGTTAGACAAGGGAAATGCAGGGGTAGGGGAATGGGTCTGGGTGGGATTTTCTTCAGAGGGGCAATGTGGACTTGTAGGGCCAAATGGCCTGTTTCTACACTAGGGATTCTATGATTAAAGTCACCCATGATTAATGTATTGCCGTTTTAACACACCCTTCTTATCTCCTGATTTATTATCTACAGGGGCCTATAGACTATTCCCACCAGTATCATCTTCCCCTTATTATTTCTTACCTCCAACCATGTGGATTCCATATCTTCCAATCCAAGATTATTTTTTGATCTCACGCTCATTCCATCTTAATCTAACAAAACTACCCCACCCCTTTTCCTCCCGTCCTTTCAGAAAGTCTTATACATGTGAATCTTTAGTTTACAGCTTAGATCTCTTTATAACCATGTCTTCGTAATCACTGTAAAATCATACCCATTAATCTGCTTTGTGACATTAATTCATCTAGTTTGTGCTGCATACCATGTCATTCAAGTAACGACAAAAATCACACGACACCAGGTTATAGTCCAACAGGTTTACTTGAAATCACACGCTTTCGGAGTGCAGCCCCTTCGCGCGGAGAGCACACAGACATAGAGTTTATAGGCAGAGAGACGAAGGGTAGAGAGGTCAAAGGATCAGACAACTGGTGTGAGTGTGAGTGAACAAACCTAAAGTTGAATCTTTAATCATTCATACATTCCTGTCGACGGGTGACCAGGCTGACCATTTACCTTCAACAACTTTATGCAACAATTTATGAAGGAGAAAACAGAGTTAACGTTATGGGTGGTTAGTGCTATGGTGAATGTTAACTCTGTTTTCTCCTTCACAGATGCTGCCAGACCTGCTGAGCTTTTCCAGCAACTTTGTTTTTGTTCATGATTTAGAGCACCCGCAGTTCTTTTGGTTTTTATTTATGCAACAATTGTTGTGAGATTAAAATGGATTAGAATTGGGTACAAGGCACTGGCAAAAAGGGAAGGTGATCTGAAATCCTTGTCCACTGACTCTTTAACTTTGCCCAAAGGATTTGGGGAGATTCTCTCTGAAGTGAACCAAGATCCTGTCCCTATAACCAGCCTGAAGACTCCAGCAACAATCTGTTGAGTTGGGATATTGCTGGAGTTGCTAGCTCAAACCTCAAAACTGAAACAATGTTCGAGCAGAACACTGTCCTAAACGAGTAGAGCATCAGCAAAATGTTGGGAAGATCCTTTGACAGCAGTTATAGGGTATTAATTCCCTTTCCTGCAGGTTCCTTTCTGTCTCCAGCTGCTTGGTCCTAAAATGAGGTCAGTATCTCAGCAGCTACAGTGTCTGTAAATGACCAAACTACAAAGACTCTTACCAATTTTTATAGATGCACCACAGAAAGCATCTTATCCAGATGCATACCAGCTTGGTATGACAACTACTCTCCCGGGACCACAAGAAACTACAAACACACAGCCCAGTCCATCAAAATCAGCCTTCCATCCACTGACTCCATCTATGCTACCTGTTGCCTTGGGAAAGCAACTAACATAATCAAAGACCCCTCCCATCCCAGTTATACCATCTTCCACCCTCTTCGTCAGGCAAAAGATATAAAAGTTTGAACATTTGCCCAAACAGATTCAAGAACAGCTTCTTTCCCACCTTTGAACAGACCTCTCAAATGTTAATTCTGATCTCTATCTCTCTCTCTGCACCTTTTCTGCGGCTGTAACATTGTATTCTGCTCTCAGTTCTGCTACCCTGATGCACTATGTATGGTACGGTCTACCTGTATAGCACACAAAACAACACTTTTCACTGTATCTTGGTACATGTGACAACAATAAATCAGCTCCAAATTATTGCAAATGGGCTGCAGTTTGTGTTGCCAGCCTATGGTGTTTACTTTGGAAGCTGGCAGGAAGTGAGGATAAGGGGTCAAGACAGAGATATGTTATGGACTGGGCAAGTGGGTGGGCCTGTGGGAGGAAGACAGGATGGGAGGGGTCAGGATTGGAGGGGTTAGAATGGCATCATGGGATGAGAGGATAGGAATAGAAGGGGCATCTTGAGAGGGATCCAAAACAAAGGGAAGGTTTTGGAAGTTCCACACTGAGAAATCTAGAAACACAGGTAAATTCTAAAAAGGGAAGAAAGGCAAGGGGAAAAGAGTGACAGGAATAAATCAAGCCGGTACCTTTTCACCATCGGTATCTGGATACAGATAATAAAAATAATTCAATGAAAGGAAATAAAGGAAATAAACAAATATCCTTAAAAATTGGCAAGGATATAAATAGACACAAAAAGGACATGAAAATAATTAGAATTGGATGAGGTCATTCACTTCTTATAGCATGTCCTGCCATTTAATAAGTTCAAAGCTGATTGGATCTTGGCTTCCTGCTTGGCTCCTGAACACTTGAATCCCCAGACATCCAAAAATCTCTCTAAGTCAGCCTTGGATATTTTCAAAGATTCAGCCTCCACTGAACTTTGGGAAGGACAATTTGCAAAATTCATAAAATTTAGAAATCTTCCTGACCAAAATTGAGATGTTTAGAGTAGAGGCGATCCTATCCTGGATTTTCCCTTGTAAATGTGAAATAAACTGAGGTCATGGAACAAGGTGTGATTGTGATAAACCTTGCCCCTCCTGGGTTAGATTCTTCAGTCAATCGTCGAAGATGTACCAAAGGAAGTTCCCCATCATCAAGGGATTTGCTGCATTTTGTGATCCCACACAAATGGAAGGCTGTTGTGACTGATATCTTTAACCTTTGAGATGGGCAAGTTTGTACACCCACACGTGATCTTCCTTGAACATAGCCATAACCTTACACCCAGGAAATTCCTCCTGCTCTCTGTCTTAAATAGATGATCCTATTTTCTGAAATTTTGTCCATAGTTCCAGATTCTTTCATGAGGTGAAAATACGCTCTTACTGTCCTGTGTCAAAGTCCTTTCAGGATTTTGTTTCAATAAGATCACCTTTCTTTCTTCTAAACTCCAATGAATATAGAAAACCAAAAGGACTGTGGACATTGGAAATCAGAAACAAAAACAGAAATTGCTGGAAATTCTCAGCAGGTCTGGCAGCATTTGAACATTTCTGAAGAAGGGTCACTGGAACTGAAACATTAACTCTGTTTTCTCTCCACAGATGCTGCCAGATCTGCTGAGATTTTCCAGCAATTTCTCTTTTGTTTCCAATAAATATACACCTAAGCTGCTCAAGCTTTTCTCTTAAGACAATCCCAGGAATCAGTTGAGTGAATCTTCTCTGAACTGCTTCCAGTAAGCACGGAGGCCAAAACTGAACACCGTGCTCTATGTGCGGTCTCACCAATGCTGCCCCTAATTTGAGAAATAACCCTACTTTTATGGTTTTACATTGTACTGGATTCCTTTTGCAAGAAAGGCCAACTGTCCATTTGATGATAGAACAACTAATGATACCATCCCATGGGGAGAACAGACTGTTTAACATCTGAGGTGTTGAGGTTTCTTCATAACTGGAGTATCAATGAAATCGAACAGGGTGAAAGGTCATCACATTGAAGAGAAAAACAGATCTTCCAAAGGACAGTCCTCAAAAAGTCATACACTAAATTAAACAAAATGTTAATTAATTCTTAAATGGATTTCTGAAACGAGGCCAGTAAATACAGCAGCAGTCCAGACCATGTCTGTATATACAACAGACTAGTTGATGTTTCAAGAGCAAACCGGTTCCCACATCAGGGGTGAATGACTGAGCAAGAATCGATCAACAGTTTTCTACATCCCATCATTTCTAAATATTTGAAAACACATCAAAGTAAATGGATGGTTCTGAATGAGGAAAGACCAAGAATCAATCTGTGTTGGAGCATTCTTAGTAAATAGTAGGAGGATAAAATTGAGAGTTTGAAGTCAAAAAAGTATAAACTTATCGATTATGAGTGAAATTTGACTTGTTGAATCTCTGTGATGAAATTCCTGAATGAAAATAAAGACAGGAATCATAATGTTTAACAATGTAATTTGCTCAATCTTCATCCTTCAGTATGACCTTCAATCTATTTGCTAATCAGATATTCATCCAGCTCTTTTTGAAAGAAATTTATATATGAATTCATTTAGATGGGTGCCTTTCCAAATATAACCTATCTTGATGTTGGATGCTTGCCAATCTTGGCAGTATTCTCCAGTTTCAAGCAATTACTTTTTATTTAAAAATACTGATGCATACATTGCCCATGCATTTTGAAATTTAAAACCCTTGAGCCTGATTTCCTTTGTCGTACTTTTCTGAAGAACAAAATATTTCCAGTTCTGTCAGTTAGGATTTATCACTTTGAATCTAAATTCATTGCTGTTGCTCCTGTTAAACTATTTTCACTGATGGTTTAGGATTGAGTAGAAACAACCTACACAGAACTGTCAGTGTAATCACCCAGCTAACTTGTGATTTGCCTCAGATTGAAGCAGGTGGAAAGTGTACTGAGGGAGAAAGATTTATGAAGTCAGTTTGACACCACGTGGAACGAAAGCTCAGTGCAGCATTTAAACTTGTTTGCAAAGTTCTCCAAGACTCCCTTGATAAGTTAGAAATCTTCCTGACCAAAATTGAGATGTTTAGAATGGAGGTGATCCTATCCTGGATTTCCCTTTGCAAATGTGAAATAAACTGAGGTCATGGGACAAGGTGTGGTTGTGATAAACCTTGCCCCTCCTGGATTAGACTCTTCAGTCAATCATCAAAGATGTACTAAAGGAAGCTCCCCATCATCAAGGGATTTGCTGCATTTTGTAATCCCACACAAATGGAAGGCTGGTGTGACTGATATCTTTAACCTTTGAGATGAGCATGTTTGTGCACCCACACATGATCTTCCTTGAACATAGCCATAACCTTACAGCCAGTGGTGTAACAAACAACATATCTGAGACCTTTGGTGGAAACTTGCTTGGAGCAACTGTAGGTTTGCTGGAAGTAGGAGGTTTAAACAGGACTTCAGGGGCTTTATGGAATGAAACAGGAGCAGATCTTAACAAATTTCAAGTCTTAGGGGCATGGAGTAATCACTGTAGTTAATGTATTCAAGGGATGAAATTGCTAGGAACTTATATTTTTCATCACTTTCAAATTACAATGGAGTTAACCCTCACGCTGACCCCGAGACTGACCCTCAATCTGACCCTCAGGATGGGATTACTCTGAAACTGCTGTGAAGGGATTTCCCCTCCATATCTGTTTCATCATATATGCATGATGAAAAATGGCAGAAAAGGCAAGGCTACCTCAATGAAATAATGTTTAATGTTTCTCAAGGTCAATGCAGTTTGGCTTATCCTCCAAAGTGAAAGGAGAGCAATGGAGTGTGCGCCGTGGACCCTGTGCTCGAGATCACCTTGACGTTAATGAAGTTAAACTCACTGAATCATTATCCTCTTATCAAATGCACTCTGCTTTCAGCCATTGATCTGTTTGTTATCCTGACTGGAAACCCCCATAGGAAGGGAAATGCAGGAGAGGGAAGAGGGTGATGGGTAGGGAGTAGGGTTTCGCTGATACCAGGTCCTGTTGCAAGGGAGGAGGGTCCAAATCAGGGGTTGGGCTGGGGAGGAGGCAGGTGCAGGAAGAACTAGTGAGGCTCTGAAACCAGGGTCAGAGAGTCATAAAGGTCTACAGCACAGAAAAAGAAGCTATTTGGCCCATTGTGTCCATACTAAAATAACCACCTGATTATTCTAATCCCATTTTCCAGCACTTGGCTTGTAGTATTGTATACCTTTGCATCGCAAGTGTACATCTAAATATTTCATCAATATTAAGAGGGTTTCAGCTTATATAATCCTTGCACCACTTTCTTGATGAAAAAAATTCCTCACATCTTCCCGAAACCTCCTGTCCTTATCTTAAACCTATGCTCCTGGCCATTGACTCCTCTACCAAGGGAAAAGTTTCTTCTTTACTATCCTCCCTATGCCCGTCTCATACATCTTAATCATATTCCCTCTCCATCTGCTGTGCTTCAGGGAATACAACCCCAGTCTATCCTCATCACTGAAGTTAGTGCAGGGGCTCAGCGGTTAGCACTGCTAACTCACAGCGCCAGGGACCCTGGTTCAATTCCACTCTTGGGCGACTGTCTGTGTGGAGTTTGCATATTCTTCCTGTGTCTGCTGGGTTTCCTCTGGGTGCTCCAGTTTCCTCCCACAGTCCAAAGGCAGATTAGGTAGATTGCCCATAGTGCCCAAGGATGTGCAGGTTAGGTGGATTAGACGTGGGAAATGCAGGGTTACAGGGATAGGGTAGGGTAGGGGATGGGTCCTGGTGGGATGTTCTTCAGAGGGTTGGTGTGGACTTGATAGGCTGAATGGCCTCCTTCTACACTGTACGAATTCTACAAAACTCACCAGTCCAGGCAACATCCTGGTAAATCTCCTCTGCATATTCTCCAGTGCTATCACATCACTCCACACCCCCACTCCCTCCCCCCTCTATAATGTGGGTACCTGAACTGCACACAATACTTGAGCTGTGGCCTAACTAGCATTTTATACAGTTTCAACATAACCTCCTTGCTCTTAAACTCTTAAGTATCGGCCAGTAAAGACAAGAATCTCATATGCCTTTTTACCTACTTTACTGACCCGTCCCTCTACCTTAAAGATTCAGTGGACATGCATCATAGTTCCTCTGATCCTTGACGTTTCCTTGGATCCTAATGGTCATCATAAATTCCCGTGTCTTGTTTGTATTGCCCATGTGCATTAGATCCCGCTTATCCAGATCGAGTTATATTTGCCATTGATCAGCCTGTCTGACCAGCCAGTCTATATCCACCTGTCATCTAAGGCTATCATCCTTACTACTTACCACCACGACAGTTTCATATTATTCACAAACTTACTGATCAATCCTTCTACATTCAAATCTAAGTTGTGGTTATATACAACAAACAGCAAGGTCCCCAACATTGACGCCCACAGAACTCCACTGGACACATGTTTCCAGTCTCACTTTGTACTTCCTGCCACTCAGCTAACTCTGGATCCAATTATCTTTGGATCACATGGGCTCTTACCTTTGCTATTAATTTCTTATGAAGGACCTTCTCAAAAGCCTTGCTAAAGTCCAAGTAGACATCAAAAGCATTGCCCTCATCTATATACCTGGTTGCATCTGCGAAAAATTCAATCCAGTTGGTCAGACATAACTTCTCTTTAACAAAACCATACTGACTCTCCTTGATTAATTCCTGGCCTTCAGAGCTGGTTCCAATAGTTATGCTACCAATGAGGTTAAACTGACAGGCATGTAGTATCCTGGTTTATCCCCTGCTGTCATATTGAATGACAGTTGTTACTCTTGGAAAGGAAATCTCTAACGTTTTTGGAAAATAAGCATCATCTGGAATGTTATGTCTCAGTTGATCGGGACCAGATGAGCAGGCCAAGGGGAATGGGGAGTGAATATAAAATCAGGGCTGAGCTGTGGGTTCCGTGCCCATCACCTCCCCATCACTGCTGGTGTTTTACCTACCGTGGAACTGAAGTCAGACAGATTGCCACATTCTCCTGACCTAATACTGGTCACAAAAGAGGCTCTTTCTACTATCACTGGCATTTACCCAGCAGCTGGGGGTCCACACCTTGTCATGAGGCTGCCAAGTGAGCCCTTCTTGGGGAGGTGGCCTGATTTTCCTCCTGTGCAGGAGTGCCAGAGGGCAGCCTCCACTCTCCTCAACTGTCTTTCCTGGCCTTGCCTTGTTCCCAGCCCAGTCTTCCCAATCTCATCCTCCACCGCATCCACCCCAACCCCCACACCCCACCCCCCATCCCCGCCATTGCAGCTTCACTCCAGTAAAACCTTAGCATTCACCCTCTTCCATAGCAGCATCAACCATCATTTGGACTGCCTGCAGTTCCAGCAGTGACCATGACCCTTGGTGGTGCTGCTGAGACTGGAGAGCATTTGATTGGCTGGCAGCTCTTGGAGATCAGGCTTCCTCTTCATTTGAGGTAAAAGTTTTGCCTCTGAATAGATGACTGTACTGAGAACCGCTAGTTGAGATGTGGATGAACTGCTGTTTGGGAGGGAAGGCATTAGTTAATATTTAAACCAGAAATTGGCCAATCACCTCCTGTAAGACTCCCAGCCACTCTGAGTTGCTCGCAAACTGACAGTTGCTGGCAGTATCAAAACAGCAGAGGAAAGGAACTGAAGGTGAACAAATTATATGATTTAACAGTCAAACCAAATACATGTCTCCAATTTATTGACCTCCAGCTGTGAGCCCTGTGCGCTGACAAATGGTATGGGGAGGAAATGCCTTAGCAGTATTATCTCCAGACTGCTAATCCAGAGACCCAGATAATGTTCAGGGAACCCGAATTTGAATCCTGCCACAGCAGATGGTGGAATTTGAATTCAATAAAAATATCCAGAATTAAGAGTCTAATGATGACTGTGAATCGATTGCTGGAAAACCCAATCTGATTCACGAATGTCCTTTAGGGAAGGAAACTGCCATCCTTACCTGGTCTGGCCTACTTGTGACTCCAGACCCACAGCAATGTGGTTGACTCTTAACTGTCCTCTGGGCAATTAGGGATGGGCAATAAATGTTGCCTGGTCAGCGATGCCCTCATCCCATTAATGAAAAACATAAAACAAAAAAAAGCATGATGATTCACAATGAGGCATTACTGTACAGGATGGTGCCTTTTGGCCCATGTGGTCCATGATTACTCATCACAGAACAATCCTCCCTTCACCATTCCTGTAGCAAATACTTCCCTCAAGCATTTATCTAAATTCCTATTCTGACCATGCATCGTCTCCTGCTGGTCCCCTGAATTGTGCTAGTGGGAGGTTCAGTGATGGAAAGCAAGCCT